CCTGGGACTTCCTGATTATGCTAAACCATTTACTCTTTTCTGTTATGAGCGTAATGGGTTTGCTTTGGCTGTATTGACGCAAAAGCACGGAGATAAACACCGTCCCATTGCTTATTACTGCCCTAGACGCTGTGGCAGCTGGATTTCCCCCTTGCCTGCGTGCTGTGGCTGCAGCGGCCCTTTCTGTTCAAGTATCCGAATCTATTGTCTTAGGATCTCCTTTGATTGTTGCTGTTCCTCATGCTGTGGCTGCACTCTTGTTAAAATCTAAGACACAGCATTTATCCACTTCTCGTCTCACAAAATATGAGCTTGTCTTGTTGTCTTCATCTCATATTACTTTGGCTCGTTGCCCCGTTCTAAATCCTGCCTCCTTGTTGCCTGGGCCAAAGGACGGAGAACCACATGACTGTGTGTGACATCGGTTCTCTCCCGTCCGAGAGATGATTTACTAGATGTGCCCTTGCAAAATCCTGATCTTATTTACTTTGTGGATGGTTCGTGCTTGTGAGATTCTAAGGGTAAATTGGTTGCTGGTTATGCTGTGTGCTCTGCACACGCTGTTATTGAAAGTGCTTTTCTTCCTTCTGTGTTTTCTTCTCAAGTAGCCGAACTTGTGGCTTTAACTCGAGCCTGCATTCTAGCTCAAGATCAAGCAGTTACAATTTACACAGACTCTCGTTATGCTTTTGGAGTGGTACATGATTATGGTTTGCTCTGGAAGTATAGAGGTTTCCTTACATCCACTGGCTCTCCTATTAAGAACAGTCTGTATGTATCTGCTCTTTTGGATGCCCTTTTATTGCCCAAAGCTAGAGCTGTTGTTAAATGTATAGCTCACCAGACCCCTCATGATGAAGTTACCCGTGGAAATGCTTTGGCAGACTCTGCAGCCAAAGCAGCGGCCCTTTCTGCACCTCAGGCTGAATATACTTGTGCCTTGATTGAACAGCCTCCAGTAGCCTCCCTTGAGGATCTGGCCAAGATCCAGGAAGCAGCACCTGCAGCTGAGAAACATTTTTGGAGTGCTAATGGCTGTATTCTACACCCTGACCATCTTTGGTGTGCCCCAGCTGGTCGCCTGGTTGCACCGAAGATGCTAATGCCCTATCTTGCTCGTGTATACCACGGAATGGCACACGTGAGCAAAGGGGGGATGGTTGCTGCAGTTAACCGAGATTGGTGTGCATTCGGTTTCCCACATCACTACTGTCACTACTGTCAACAATGTGTGATTTGTCAGCAGCATAACATTGGTAAAGCTGTTAAAGTTAGGCAGGCAGCTCCCCCTCCCCCTTGGGGACCTTTTGTAAATGTTCAGATTGATTTTATTCAACTGTCTAAATGTTGTGGTTATGAATATGTATTGGTTTTAGTGGATGGGTTGAAGCTTTTCCCTGCAGGAAAGCCGATGCCAGAACTGTTGTGAAACTTCTGCTTAAAGATTTTGTACCACGATTTGGCATCCCTGTGAGTATCAACAGTGACCGTGGAACTCATTTTACTGGACAGATTGTAAAAGAGTTATGTGCAGCTTTGCAGATCCAACACAACCTTCACTGCTCTCACCATCCGCAGTCTGCCGGGGCAGTGGAACGCCAGAATGGAATTCTGAAAAATAAACTGGCCAAGATTTGTGCTGAAACAAACTTGAAGTGGCCAGATGCCCTTCCTCTGGCACTAATGAGTATGAGAGCTACTCCCAATCGAAAGACTGGACTCAGCCCTCATGAGATTTTGACAGGGCGCCCGATGCGACTACCAACTGCGCCCCCACTGACCCTAGCTCAGATGGACATTCATTTAATGGATGACACAATGCTTAAGTATTGTCAGGCACTAATGAAATGTGTTAAGTCTTTTTATACACAGGTGAAAGAAGCACTACCCAAGGATCCTGTGCAACCCTGCCACTCGCTGGAACCAGGAGACTGGGTCTACATAAAGGTCCATCAGCGAAAGACTGCCCTGGCTCCACGCTGGAAGGGCCCTTTCCAAGTCCTGCTAACCACCAACACCGCTGTGAAGTGCCAAGGACTACCTGCCTGGACCCATGCTTCTCACTGCAAAAAGACCCCTCCACCTGGAGAGGATTCTCCAGCTGCTGATCAGCCTATTTCTCCTACTAGCTCTGCTGTGCCTCCTGGACAGCAGGGAAAGAGGACAAGGTGAAGTGCTAGTAACCTCTCCCTTGTCCACTGACAGATCTACAATACCTTTGAATTCCTTTACAGGAATCACACCAGTACAGGGTGAAGTGCTAGTAATCTCTCCCCTGCACTATGGTGAATCACAACTGCTTTTAAAGAAGAAAAGAAGAAACACTCGCTCTGCTGAAACCACCAAAATCCAGGGATTCCTGACTACAAGAGACATTAAGAACTGGCCCTGGTGGAAGAGACGGAGCATCGTTTATTGGCAAGGAGGGAACTGTGGGGACCGTTCCTGGGAATGCGGGGTCCAGTAGTGGGGTGGATTCTTTCCAGGGGCAGGACTTTGTGCTTATGGACAGGTACCTTCAGGATGCACTGCCCTTCCTAATTGGCTTTCAGAAGATGAATATCAAAACCGCCTTGCCACCACTAGGACTACACCCACTAGTCCCTTGACCCCTGCCACCACCACTGTAACTTACCCAGATACAAACCGTACTGTATATTCCAATGAAACCCATTGGCCAAGGCTTTCACATCTTAGTGATTTACTAAAAATTTGTTCAAAGAAATTATTCTTTAAAGTTCAGGATAATGTATATGAGCAAACAATTAAATGGAAAACAAATGGATCAGTAAAGATAGAAATACATGATATCACTACCAGCGAACACCAAGAATTAATAATTGCAATTGATGGGTTCTATAGTGAAGTAGATATGATGGTTGTTCCTGAAACTTGTACTGTGTTAAATGAGAAAGGCCCTTATTGTTATTTGGTCACCCAATTAGTGAATAATCAAACAAATACCCAAAGAGTTTGTTCTGCCACTGGAAATTTTACCTGCATAGAAATTATTCCAGTGACTAATAATGTGACTTGTACCTTATTGCAATACACCCCCTCTTATACCATTAATGTTAATGCCTCCCGGAAATACATAAAGGTATTTGACCAACAGATGTGGTATAGTACTACACCAAAGAGAGATGTAGTAGGATATCGGTGGACTGTGATTAACACTACATTAGGGACTGTTAAATTTTCATTGCCCTTATCCAGTTTCCAGATTACCTCTACATACCCAAATTGTTCACAGGGGGCTGCCATTAGATTAGCACAACAGAGGGCTTGGGTTATTTCCTCTAGAAAGAAGAGAGACTTGACCGGATCCCTGTGGGATGGGGCCAATAGTGCAGCAGCAGTTTGGAATATTTTTAAGAACCAAGAACATGATGAAAAATTGGGCCAACTAGAGAAGGCCATTGGCCTTGTTTCTGGAGCACAACTAACCCAGGTACAGGCTGGAGTTGGTGAGTTACATGTTATTTCCGCCCTTAGTTCTATGACCCAGAAGTTGCTGACAAAGATGGTACTGAATATCATTGAGGCTGGGAAGGCATTGCAGTGGGATCTAGCATGTTCAGAGATTCAGGATTTCCTGAATGACCAGCTGATGGCCATTCGGAATGATCTAGAACATCAGGCTTGGCCCACTGCCCTTACAGACACATCAGGAGTACCATCTGAGCTGTGGCCATGGAGACTCACTTGGAAACTTTCTGGATGGAAGTGCGGACGCTCTCAATGCTCCTTCCAAGCATATGGACCGGTAAAGGGGGTGTGGGCTCCCACATACCGAATCCTGCCGGGTCCATGGGGAGGATGCATGTGAGATTGGGTAATTCACCGAGACATCTGGGAAATTAGACCACCTGGTATGCCCAATCGATTTTTAGTCAGTGCTCCTAGGATTACACCTGACATTTGGATGGGGTTAGGTAGTCTATGGACATTTTGGCCATTAGAACCCCCACAGCTTCAGTGTATACGTAAACTGAAGCCAGGAGAAGTTGTCACAGTTTATGACTACGTTTGCTGGGAGGGTAGGGGACAAGAAACTACCCTGACAGGACACTTACTTTTTCAAGCTAATGATAGCTGTGTGTATGTTAATGACACCACATTGCAAGACATGCATTGTCATTACATCCAATCAGAACCCCTAAGATTGAAACATCTGATGTAGAATCTGAAGTCCAGGACTTAATGCAAATAGAGGTTTGAGAATGTTTGTTGTACTAGAAGTACAAAAGGGGGGGTTGTGGAAGCAGAGAAAGAACTGTCAGAAAAGAACTGCAATGCAAGACAGTTTGTTAGCAAGAGTCAGGCTAACTGTAGGCCTGATAACGCGAGATTTGTAGAAGCGAGGATTGTGAGAGGCGGGTGAGAAAGTACTGTGTGAGAAGTTATTGTGACCTTGTATAGATAAGGTGTAGAAGACCTTGTGTAGATAAGGTATAGAAAATATTGCATGTTGGCAAGAGTCAAAACAAGTAAGGAATTAAGATATCAAGATGGCATATGTATAACAAGATGCAGCTGTCCCTCATTATTTTCTGTAATGAAAGGTATAAATGCTTGCTGTAATTAGGTACCAGTGAGAGAGACCTGCTTAGCTCTCTCCCTCTGCACAATTGTGAGAGTTAATAAAGCTTCTGACTTGCTGCACCCAAACAAAAGAGTGAGAACTCAGTTTTTCTCCGACACTACTGAACTGCCTGTCATCCCAGAGGAGTTCCCTCAGGACAGAGTGACACACGCTGGTGACCCAGGGTGTGCATGTGTAGGAAGCTGGCCCTTGCTACTGTCCTTGCTCTGCCTGGTCTGGGGTTAAAGAAAAGCCATTAGTGCCCCAGGCTGTCAGTCTGGCAGCTTTTACCGGTGCTATGTTTTAAAACAAAAACCAGAACCTCGTGGATGTAAAGATTTTCGATCTGCTCTAGGAAGAGACGAGATACTGAGACAAGGACCAGGAGACACAGGTTCCACAGGCACACAGCACACAGGCCTCCATAGTACAGTTTATTCATTTTGCTTTTAATACAGTAGGGATTGAACCAAAACCGTGGAAGCAAACTCCCTGCTGCTCTGGGGGAATCAGGATCCAAATCTGAACTTGGCAGGTCAGGCCTTTCCTTGATTCCTAAAGAAATCCCATGCAAAGGAAGAAACCAAGGCAAGGAAGAGATCATAGAGCTCCCAGCGCATCTGGAGGGGACCGTTTTCTCCAGCTCTTCCTCCTTCTTTCTTACCTCCTTGCTTCCAGCAGATGGATCCCACCTGGATGCAACCCCCAGTGGCTTTGCTCTCCTCTTTGCATGTCCTGACCCATTAATGTGGCTCTCCTGGGTTACAGCCCAGTTCCACACTATTGCGCCTCAAGCCAGGTTTCCCCTGGAGAAGATGGGTGCAGATCAAAAGAAGGAGAGAAAGCGAAGGGGAACAGAAATGAGCCTCGTAGAAAAGAGGCCAAAGCTGGGAAGTTCTTCCCCTACCAGCAGTGATGCCCAGATTGAGGAATTCAGGGCTCAAAGCCAGAGGGCTTTACTGGGAATCCTCCTTCTTGACATCTGCAGAAGAAAAGAATAAGTATCAGGAGGTAGCCGTGTTAGTCTGTAGCCACAAAAACAACGAGGAGTCCGGTGGCACCTTAAAGACTAACAGATTTATTTGGGCATAAGCTTTCGTGGGTAAAAAATCCACTTCTTCAGATGCATGCCACCGGATTCCTCGTTGTTTTTAAAAGAATAAGAACATCCACGATGCTGGATGAATTTAAAGGACTCAGGGAATGAGATACTCTTTCTTCACTAATATCCACGTGGTCAGTTCCAGTCCTGGGCTAAATTGGGATGGTGTGGGACTGCATCATTAAAGTGGATTGGAAATGGGGGACAGAGTCTTTCATCTCTAGGTGGCATGTTCAGATCCAGCCCTTTAACCAGGTCTCAGGGGCTTGGATACAGATCCCATAACCTCTCCATCACTGGTTGAAATTCAGTCCTACATCAGAGAGGACTGAATGGCTAGGGTTGTGCAGGAATGAGATGTGGAGCTTTGCACCACTAGGATACACATCACATGGGGAAACCAAGCAGCAGGAGGTGCAGTGATGTGTCCAGTGTCACACAACAGGTCAGTGGCAGAGCAAGGAATAGTACACATCTGTTCCACTTCCGGGACCCTGCTCTAACCACTCAATAGGCTGCCCCTACGAGGGTGTATCCATGCCACACCTACCTGAGCTGCAGGGGGCGTTGTATTCTGTAATCGCACTGTCACCTGTACGAGGGAGGAGAATTTGCTGTGAAATGCAGAACTGCACAAGACCCCGAGCTTGCTCCCCCTTTAGGACAGCAATCTCTAGTGACTTCAGTTCCCTGCCACATTCTCTTCAGTGCCTAGATGGCAGGACAAGCATCTTCCCAACATCCCTTGGGAAAGGAGAGTAACCAATGGCCACTGGGATTACTACAATACTCATGAGAGGCATAAATTTAAATTCTGCCTCCAGATTGGTCAGGGTTTGTAGCGTTAAAGGCCCCTTTAAATGTATAGTAAATGTAAGGTAAAGTCCCATTCCTATCTCATTAAACAAGAGCCTAATATTGCCAGGAGACCTGAGGAGCTGGAGGTGACAGAGTAGATTAACAAAGAAGCCCCATTTCTACCGAGACCTGAGTTAAGAGCCAGAGCAGGCCACTATTGCATCGAGACCTCAGCTGGAGTATTGTGTCCAGTTCTGGGCACCGCATTTCAAGAAAGATGTGGAGAAATTGGAAAGGGTCCAGAGAAGAGCAACAAGAATGATTAAAGGTCTTGAGAACATGACCTATGAAGGAAGGCTGAAAGAATTGGGTTTGTTTCGTTTGGAAAAGAGAAGACTGAGAGGGGACATGATAGCAGTTTTCAGGTATCTAAAAGGGTGTCATAAGGAGGAGGGAGAAAACTTGTTCACCTTAGCCTCTAAGGATAGAACAAGAAGCAATGGGCTTAAACTGCAGCAAGGGAGGTCTAGGTTGGACATTAGGAAAAAGTTCCTAACTGTCAGGGTGCTTAAATACTGGAATAAATTGCCTAGGGAGGTTGTGGAATCTCCATCTCTGGAGATATTTAAGAGTAGGTTAGATAAATGTCTATCAGGGATGGTCTAGACAGTATTTGGTCCTGCCATGCGGGCAGGGGACTGGACTCGATGACCTCTCGAGGTCCCTTCCAGTCCTAGAATCTATGAATCTATGAAT